CCGTCCTTACTGGCCTGCTTGAGCTTCAGTTGATAATATTCTTTCTTCTTGCACATATTCAGTTTAGTTACTTGATTTCTTAACTCGCGATATCTTGCCTACTCTTGTGGACTGACAGACTTATGTGCTTTTGCTTTATCTCTTTCTGACGTTGCAGCCTTAAATTCATTATCTAGCCAAGTTCTTCTTAACAGTACATCTCCATACGGGGGCATGTTTGTCAGCCAGGTAGCAAAAGTTTTTAATAAACATAGATAATCAGGGTGACGCTCGAGGCAGGTGTCAGTCCAGTGAATTTCCTTTACGTTGTCTGCATTGAGATTTTTGTATGATCTGTGAAAAATAATCTTTTGTGCAGTTTTCAGTGGTTTCGTTTTCTTGGTCAAACCTACAAGATTATGGTCACTATAACCAACTGGAACAAACAATATTAGAGCAATGCTCAGGAACATTTGTATACATATGATCAATACATGATGACCTATGACCTCCTGTGTTGACCGTGACCTGGGTGGGAATGTTGACGATCTGAGACGGGCAACAAGCCGACGCTGATGAACTTTTTCCCTAAAGGACAAGAAGGAGCCGACCAACTGATAAAGTCTCCTAATAAGATCTTGTCTTTGTTTTCCTCAGTTACTCTTTCCAGCATTTCACAGATTCGTTCTACATACAACATATTGCTAGTTGGGGGCCTGTAGCAGCAACCTGCTGATACAGGCCTGCCATAGAGCGGGTGTAACTGAACCCACACAGTTCCCAGGTCGTCAAACATTAAGTCCATACGTAGTTTGCTTTGCTATCAATAGCCAGCACACTTATCGTATTTGTTGACAACAGTGACTGAATTTGCTGAATCTTATATTTAAGGCTACAAATATTGACATGAGCCACTGAAAAACCTTTACCGGAGAATAAGTATAAGGTCGGACATTTGCAGACCGATCGATCTCAACAGCTACAAATGGCAACATTGCTGAAGTCTAAATATTAATTCCGGTGTTCTGTGGCCTCGGTTTAACAATTAATTTGTCATATTTCAGGACGGCAATATCACCTCTGTCTCTGGCCGCTCTCAGCTGTGGTAACAGTTCTTTCCTCTTCTTCCTGATGGACTCTGAAAAATCCTCGTTGATGTAAAGATTGGTACCTTTCAGTTTTTTGGCAGATGAGAAAATTGTTTATCTTTAAATCTTTGTAGTCTGACCACAATCGGTCCGGCTCGTCCATTTTCCTTGTAGGGACGGACTCTGTGAGCGCGTTCAGTTTGAATGCTGTCACTATCCAGGCCCAGCTTGTTCTTCAGCATGTGTCGGACTTTCTCCTCTGATCCTTCCCACGTTTCTGCTTTTTCATCTATTAATCCATCCACCACAATGTTGTTCCTTCTCGATTGATTTTCTAAATGTTCCTCGCGTATGCTGCTGACCGCCGATTCAAACTCTTTTAGTTTGCTTTTAATGCGCCTCTCTTCAGTTTGCAGCTCGGTCACAACCCCATCCATGAATTGCAGGCTGGATTTAACATCCTGTGCATCCCTTAGAATGCTGCCCAATGTTTGTTAGTTCCATCCATGATTAATTGGACAAATGTCTTAAAGTTATCTTGCTGTTGGTGAATCAGATCTTTGTAAAACTCCCGTTGCTGTTCCAGCATAGCGTTCAGCGTGCTAACACTGACATAGCTGTCATC